CGCTGCAGGCGCCCGCCCCGGCCCAAAGCTGCTGCCTAAAGGGCCCCCCTGCTGCCTGTGCCTCCCCCCAAAGAAGTTCAATGGCCCGAAGCCGTAAACTCTGATCCCTGGTCGTAAACAGGAAACTGGAGCCGCTCACCGTGCCGACTTTGGAAAGCGCGGTCGCGCGCTCGTCCTGCTTGCTGTACCCGAAATCGCAGACCTTGACCAGCGGCCGCCGCAGCCCCTCCACCGGCTGCAGCAGAAGGTTGTCCAGCTTTATGTCCCGGTTGGCCACACCCTGGGGAAGACGAGGGGGCGCGGCCGTTACTGGCCGACCTCGCACGTGCACGGCTGCGTTCACACGCGCAGCAGCTGCGCGTGCGCTCGCCACTGCACACGCTCGATAGGTCCATGGCTTGTGTGACGCTCTGCTCGCATGATAGGCGCACGGAACTCGAAGCGATCAAGGGGCGCGTGTGCCAGGCGCTGCGCGAGCTGCCAGCCACGCGGTGATTTCAGGCCCTGCATGTTTGCATCTCTGGGCTCATTGGGCCTGGCCGTCGACCGCAGACCACGGCCCGTGCCCTTGCAGCGGCCGCCAATCCCCGCCAGCACCCTGCCAAGCCCTGGCCGGCCTAGAGCCCTCACCCAGCGATGCCACGCGTCTCCTGTCCCGCGCCCGGCTCGGCGGCAGCGGCTGCGCAGGCGCGTGTGTGCGTTCGTGCGTGTGCGCACCTTTCTGTGGCAGTAGTCGCAGGCAAACACCAGCTGCTGGAAGAACCACCGCGCCACAGACTCCTTAAGCCGCTTGCGCGCCTGCACGTAATCAAACAGGGAGCCGCCGCTGGCGTAGTCCATCACGCTGCGGGGTGGAGGCGGTTGGATGGGCGTGCGAGGGCTTTCCGAGGGCCGCGACGGCGCTGGGCAGGGCGATCCGTCCGCGAGACGCATCCCAGGTGATCGGAAACCTCTCCGCATGGCGGCAGCCCTGAAACGGCTGTGCTGCGCCCTGCAGCCCTCGCGCCGGCCGCCCACGAGAGCCCTGCCTGGGGCCGCCAGGGGTCTCACATGTTCACGTGGTGTTTTGAGAGGAAGACCTCCCTGAACCCCACGACGTGCGGGTGGCGCAGCTTTGAGTGGTTGAGGATCTCAGACTCCACGTAGTGGCCCACATACTCGCGCTCCTGTAAGACGCACAAACCAGGTCGTCAGATCAGGCGGTTGGGGAGCGCAAGGGGGTCGCGGAGTGCAATGGGAGCGACCTCACATGCGCACACATGGAGGTCGCGCGTGGCCTCGCACGACGGCGTGCGTCGTGCAATTGTCTTTGGAATGTGTGCGTGCAGGCGCACACGCCCGCGCAGCAGCGCGCTGCATGCAATGCCCAAATGGAAAGCCGCGAGCGAGCGGGCCAAGACAGGAACGCCACGTGCCCTCCGCTGATTGTGCTGCGCTGCGCTGCGTCATTGCACTGCCCCCACCATCTGCTTGATGGCAACAAGCTGGTTCGTCTCTGAGTCCTTTGCCAGAATGACACGGCCGAAGCTGCCTGCAGGGGTGCCACGTGCGGGTGCCAAGCGGAAGGTGTCGTGCTGGCCCTGGCGCCGCAGCGCGCCGCAACGCCTTGGCCAGGCACCCCACGGAGCGCGAACAGCCATGTGATCGCACTATAGTTGAATGCAGGGTCGCGACCAGCTCACCGCGTCCAAGGTCCTTCACAAATCGATAGCGCGGTCTCGCCTCCGTGAAGCTGTGTGCACGCGTCGGGGCCGTCACCTTCTGCTTAGGTTCTTCTACTGGTGGGGGTGGGGGAGGAGCAGCCTGCTGCGGCTGCTGCTGCTGCTGCTGTTGTTGCTGCTGCTGCCTATGCCTGCCTCCCAGGAGTGCCCGCATCCTTTCGTCGTGCTCTCAACGGTGGTGTCTGTGTCGCGTGCTGGACACGCTTTTGGTCGATGATAAATGCTGATAACGATTTGCCACAGAGGGCATCGCTGAAGGTCACCACTTGGCGGTGTCACTCCTCAGCGTGTGCCTCCCGCGCAGCTGCTGCGAAGCAGCTGGCGAGTGCAGGCACGTCATGTGACCCCGGGCGACCAGTCTGTCTCTTGGGGAGGGGATGCTTGCGAGTGTCTCCTCGCTGCAGCTGGCAAAGCTTTTCAAGCAGGTCCAGGCCGCACTGAGTGCAAATCAAAGGGTGGGCAGCAGGTGTACAAAAGTACAGGCGGCGGCAGCAAATGGTGCATGCACGCAAGTGATTCAAACCCCATGTGCGCTGTCACGATGATGACCGCAGCTAATATGTGGACCAGTGTATGGCTGCTTCCTGATCGACTCCTAGTAGGCTCCTTTGTGATCCATATTTCCCTGAGGATTGCGCTAGGAGACCTCCTCCGAACAAACTCCTGGGTCGCCAAACCCTGCAAGGAGGGCTTGAACAGTAGCTCTGGATAGCTCCGTTACATGCGGCGCAGCTGCCGCTTACCAATGCAGGTGTCGCCTTGAGGCTGGGAGGCCCTGCAGTGCAGAGTCGCCTCGAGGCTGGCCGGGGCCGTCTGCTGCCGGTGCTTGCGTTCAATGCCCTAGACCAGCGAGATTCCGTTCAAGGCAGGCGGCACGACCATTTTTGATCCCGCTCTGAGCACTGCAGTTGGAGGCTCAACCGCAGCGGTCGCGGGCTGTGCCGAAGATTACATCGTGTGAACACCTGCAGTGACAGTGCCCTCCGCAGCGCATTGTTTGCTTGGGGACTGGACGTGCTGCGGGCGCAGGGTTGCGATATATTGGTACAAGGCAGGAACGCAGGCCAAGACGAGACGATGCCATTGGGATCAGATGCAGATGCAGGACCGCTATGCAGCCTGAAAAGGGAATATCCAGCTTGCTCCTGTCTGGAGGTCACTGGAACCCTAAAACCGAGCGCAGGAGGAGCTGTGGGCGTTTTGAGGGGCAGGGGACTTGACCCACCAGCAGAGCAGAAGCCTATTGTGCGACAGGTGGCAGCGACAACGGCCGCCGCATGCTATGCTCGCCCGCTTGCCGGGCGCAAGAGAGTCGTGTACATCGCAGTACATGGCAGCGCATGCAACCGGCCTTATTGACACAGTATGCCCTCAGTGTGGCAGAAAACCCGGAAAAAGGATCAGCACCGTCCAGGAAGAGTGCAAGTATGAGGTCGACGCCACTTGCTGCTAGGTCTTACGTTCACAGTAAGCTCGACCACTAGGACAGGCAGCAAACACGCACCCGCAGATATCCCTCCTTATTAGTAGCCACGGACACGCGCAGCAGTTGTGAGTGCGCGTGCTCAGTGCTGGTGAGTGCGACGTGCATGTGTCAATCTGACTGACTTGTGTAGCGGTGGGTCGTGCAAGCCTGGCAAGAGCAAAGGTTGGGGTCTGGGCTGGCCTTGACAGCATACTCAACCCATCTAACCAGCTTCCAAGGGACACTGGCACCGCAGGCAGCGCACGGCCCAGTCACAGCCGCGGCCTCGGGGAGACACGCCCTGCTGCTGCCGCTGCTTGCGAGCCCGCGCAGCTCCAGCGGTCCTCATTCGCTCATCTGCGCCAATCGACACGGCCTCTGGTCTGGGCACTAGTTCAGTGCCAGGTGGTCGAGGCTGTCGTCGTCGCTGTCACCCGACGATGCAAACTCGCTGTCTGAAGACGATGCTGCCTCGCGGCACCCATCGGATGTGATCGCGTCGACAACCGCGCTGATCTGGGCGGCCGTCTGCTGGCGCGCCGGCTGGAGTGACAGGTACTCGCGGTTCATGGCGAGCGCGTTGGAGGGCATGTTGGTCAGGAACCAGGGGTCCTGTTGAAGCGTTGTTGACGGGATTGTTGTCAGGTCCGCAGAGACGAATTTTGTGTGCATGTATGAGTGCGTGCGTGCGAGCGTGCGCGAAGGGGGCGAGGGGGTTGAGAGCGTGAGGGGTGGGGGGTGACAAAGAGACTGTGAGGATGATTATGCGTGTGTGAATGCACATGCGAGAGAGAGTGAGAGGGAGAGGAGAGCGAGCAAATGGCATGCGCATGCGTGTGTGTGCGAGCAGGCATGCGTGGTGGGGAACACGCGGCAGGGCAAGCAGATTGGGGGGGACAGGAAGCAGGACCGGCAAGGCACATTCACACAGGGCAGATTGGTTTTTGAGGGGCAATGCCGCGGCTTGGCATGGCAACACAAACCCCAAAGGCTGTCATGATTAGTTGCCTACAAGCAAGCGCTGATCCTAGCCTGACTCCTTGCCTTCATGACCTCGTCCAGCCCAATCCGCGCCTCTGGCAGCGGCTCCAGCAGCCGCAGCAGCAGCCGCACCACCTCCGGCGACAGCTTCAGATCTTCCGGCAGGTCCGGCGCCCGCGCGTGCATCTGCCGCAGCATGCACGCCACGCTGGCGGCGAGCAGCGCGGGCGGCGCGGCGGTGTCCGGCGCGGCGAAAGGCAGGCTGCCGGCGAGCATGGCGTAGAGCACGACGCCGCAGGACCAGATGTCGACCTTGCGGTTGTCGTAGCCAGTGTTCTGCAGCACCTGTGTGGTGCCGATCGTCGGAAAACGGGGCGCCGCAACAATTGAGATGACTTTGAGGTAACGGGAGTGATCAGCCACCAGTCAGCATGTGGGATGCAAGCGTGTGTTGAGCTGTACTGACACTTCAAGGTTTGATGGTAAGCGCCCTTGCTGCCATGTTGCCTCACACGAGCTGCCCGCATTGCTTGTCTGCATGTTCGGCTGTTGCCTGGCCCTTTGCGCACGCACCTCTGGCGCGACGTAGTTGAGCGTGCCGACGCGCGAGAAACCGTCGGCCCTCGCCTCCCCAGAATCGCTCTGAGACGAGGAGTATCCAAAATCGCAGATGAGCAGCAGCGGCTGAGGCAGCCCATCCACCGGCTGCAGCAGCAGATTGTCCAGCTTGATGTCCCGGTTGGCAACACCCTGGGGCCCGGGTAAAGAAAGTGACAGTCGGGCAAGCAGGCTGTTGACGTTGTGGCGTACGCCTGACCCCGTGAGAGCAGCAGCTGCAAGCCGCTGCTGCAGCAACTGTCATGCGGCGGCTGATGTGCTGCTTGCCAGGGCCTGCCCTTTCGCCCTGCCAACGATGCAGCTCAGCAGATGCGCATGTCGCGATCCTCCTCATCCCCAACATCCTCACCTCCTTGATCTGAAAAGCGTTTGATTTTCGCAACCAGCCCTCCGTCAAATCCCCTTCATTGCCCCACTCAATAGCTGATCAACCCCCTCTCAATCCCCCCACCACATCTCCGTTTCTTGCATCCCCATGCTCCCTCATCTTGCCCGCCCACCTTTCTGTGGCAGTAGTCCACACCTATCACCAGCTGCTGGAAGAACCAGCGCGCCAGCGGCTCGCGCAGCCGCCGCCGTCGCTGCACCAGCTCCAGCAG